ATATCACAAATTTTTATATTTGTGGCATAGCGTCAGAAAACAAGTATTTCATTAAATGGGAATTTCCCCTTAATTGAGGTAGTTTAATTCTGACTTCGTAACTTATTCTTTATGAATCGTCTCATGTTGAAGCCAGGGGTGGTGTTGCATGCCTGTAATCCTAGCTCTTAGGAAAGAGCTTAAGGCAGGACAAACACGAACTTGAGGCCAGTGTTGCCTGAGAGAGAGAGAGAGAGAGAGAGAGAGAGAGAGAGAGAGAGAGAGAGAGAGGATTCCAGCCAGCACAGAGTAGATAGTCAGCTCCTATCTAGAACTAAATGAAGAGATAGCATAGGGTATAAAATCATAGAACTAGATAGTGATGCTGTCTGCTCCTTTTATATGCCCGCCTCTCTTTACTCTGAAAGTTATACACATGCTGCATCCACAGAATTTTGTAACTAAGAAAACAGTGAGTGATCCTAGTAGGCCATTGCTTTTAATAGACCAAGAAGCAACTTGGTTTTTTACTCTTAAAAAAAAAAAAAATGAGTTACTGGAGTGGGGGGGGGATACTCTGGGTTTTAGTATGCAAAAGTCCTTGCTGTATTGCAGATATTAGGAGTCATCTAATCAGTGAAATGAGGCTGGAAAGAACAGCGTTTACCTTTGGAACATTTTGTTATTTGGCACAGCATTTCGCTTTGTGTTTGCCGAGGGAAGAACAGCGAAAGAGAACAAGGCGAGCCAGTTACAAAGAGGCCTTAGTGTGACCAGCACGCTTGCAATGGCTGCTGTGCTACGAGCAGGGTCGGACTGAGGCTGGAAAAATTCAAGTTTCCCATGCACTTGGTATGTGCCTTGCATTGTGCGGTGGAAAAAGAAGTTTTTAAAGAAGCCGAAAAGTGGTGTGTAATTCTGGTTTTGACAATATGCCCATTAATGTGCTAGTCCTCCCAAGAGAAATAATATTGACAGTTCATCAAACATGTGTGGATTTGTCATGAGACAGCCGCCATCAACAATTTAAAAATGATTTCTTTTGTGCCTGTGAGTGCTCTGCCTGCATTTATGCCTGTGCATCATGTGAGTGCCTGGTGCCCATGGAGACCAGGAGAGACTATTGGATCCTTGGGACTGGAGTTAGGGCTGGCCATGAGCCACTGTGTGGGTGCTAGGAATTGAACCCAGGTCCCCTGGAAGGTGAGCCAGTGCCCTGAACTGCTGATCTATCTCTCCAGTCTGAGAAACAAAAAAATTTCAGCTGTCCCTGACCACTACCAAAAAACATTTCTACAACAGCCAACTATCAAATAAATTCAAGTTTGGAAATAGTTACTGAATGTGCCTGATATGCCAGATGTTACCTTAGGGTCTGGGGAAGCAGACAGGGGGAATAAGGCATGAACTGATCTTTACATAGTACAGTTTGAGGCACTGTTGGGCTATCTTATCAGCCATAAGGCTACTAGCATAGTAACCCTCTCTAGATCATGAACACACGTGACATGTGACATGTGACATGGCTCCATCTCTCCCCCAGCCTTTCTTCATTTCTAATTCTTCATTAGTGATACTCTTTTGAAACTCTTATTGAACAGCACATAGTGGACTAAGCTGAAAATGTAATGTGAATATTGAGGAGTATGTTATAATCACTAATGCCCTAAAATATTTAGCTTCTAACGGTCAGAACTTGAGGTGATAGCTGTATTTTTATGTTACAGATGATCGAGGCATATTGTAATATCAAGTGCTATTTAGAATACTGCCTGAGTCTTTTAAAAGTTTTTGTAGCATGTCCAGAGTAGAGTTTTTCTTAGTAGATAACATTTACGGAGCTACCTATTGATTCCTAAGCTAAATGTTTTTGATTGGAGAAGTATTGAAGAGCTTATGAAATTCACCCTCCTTTTTCTTATCTTTTTCTTTCAAAGCTAAATTGGACTTACAGTTTTACAGTTGCCTGCATTGTTTTGATATTGTGACTAGGTCATTCTAGTCATTTTAGTGTGCTCAAAACTTTCCTTTGAAAAATGTCCCATCATAACCACACTGCTGTAAGATGTCTCAGAGTATAAGTTCAATGACTACAGCCCCTTCCTTTCTCACAGAAGGGGTTTAACATAGGAATTGGACCCCATGTTGAAAGTTAAAAAGCACTCCAGTGATGATTTAGAACAGTCCCAGTAAGACAAATGTGAAGATTTTTTAAGAGTATTTTTATATTACTTTAAAAAACAACTGAGAAACACTGTAATTGCCAGGACAGTGTTTATTGACTTCATGGAATTGTACACTCATTTTCCCTAACCAAAAGCTTTCAAGTAACAGCATACTGTGACTCTTGCTAGATTTGTCCCACAGTAAGAAAGTTTGCTTTGTGGGTTTTTTTTTTCCTTCTCCTTAAAAAAGTTTTTCTGACTGGCTAGGAGCTTCATAGTTCATAGTAGTGATTTTATGTATATATACAGATGATGCTGTAAAAAGTCCTGGGTCTGACTACAGGGCAGCATTTACAAGCTGAAGACCACTGTAGTGCCTAGCTTTTCTGTTCCCATGTGCTCTTATTTGAATTTTTGTATATCGAACACAGAGCTGTCGGAGTCCTGTACAATCTGAAGCCTAGGAATCTGGGGCTTTCCGAGAAGAGGAAACAGAGGTGCGGCTGCCCTGGAGCAGGGCTTTCCTGAGTGCATGGGGTGCTTTTATGTGGGCCTACATGTTAACTTTACATGTGTCTCCTCTTATGCCCACCTCTTTCCAAATCACAGAAGTATGGAAACTGTGCTCTGCCTATAGATCATAGATGTGATCCAAACATATGACTGTCTGTTTTAAATGTTAGAGTAAGTCAAATTTATTATTACTATTTTCATTATCCTTAGACTCGTGTATATTATTTCAGCCACACTGTTAGAAAGCTCCATTTTAGTTCTATTGAAGAGCTTGCTCAACTGGGCATATATTCCCTGTGTACTTGACCTGAGTACAGCTGAACTGTCTCCTTTGGCTTTTCACTTTCCCTTAAACTGGGGTATTGGTTCATACTGTGGACAATCCAACTGACTGTCAAGTAAATGAGAGCCAACAGCTTGGCTTCTTCTTTCCCAGTGTCTCCCCTCATTCTGGGGAAACAAGGTTTCTAACCCCAAATACCTATATGTTGGGATTGCATGCAAAGATGGGCCCAGAGAGCCTGTCTTTGAATGCTGCTGCATCAGGCAGACTTCCTTCATGGAAAGCCACTCATTTGCAAGCTGCCTGGCACTTAAACACCTTCAGACTACACACAGACCTCAGGAAAGTTACATCCGTCTAAACAAAGACACGTCGCTTAAGTTGTTATTATACTCTCTGTGACACTACGTACACATCCACACATCCAGGCTGCAATTATCTTCCCAGTATGACAAATGACATTGGCTCTCTGTGACAAGCAGTTTCAGGAAAAGTGGCACAAGCGTTGGACAAAAAGATTAAGGGCAAGACAACTCTTGGGTTTTCTCCTGCCTGAAAACTTCACTCAGGTTTTGTCCCGAATCTAAAATAGGGCGTCAAAACTGTCCCCAAGTGGTTAGGATCCCGCTTCTGCAATGGAAATGAATAGTGTGTGTGGCTGTGGAGAACATCGGGCAGACAGCAAGTGAAAGCAGTGCTCTCGACGGACGGATGTACTGAAGAGTGCACAGCCCTCGGGACACAGCTAGCAACTGGTTAATTAGCCACCTCACTGGTGCACCACTGGCTGCGCCCGCCCGCACCAAGTGCTGTTCGCAGATATGGTTAGGAGTTTGCCTCCGCGGCATTTTGTGGTTGTTAAGCAGAAGTCAGATGAAACCTAGTCTGGACACATTTTTATTTTAAAAGACAGACAGAAGGATCAGTCCTAAAGGGAAAACATGACAACTACTTGGCAAAATAAAAGCAAATGAGGACAAATGATCCACACAAGTGCCGAAACCCATTTCTCTTGGTGGCGGAGCTGCCAAGAAGGCAGGAGGGAGAGGAGGGAGAGGGGCAGAGACCCACTCAACGTGGTCTTCGGGTGTGCAAAGGTTTGGCCTTCCCAAGGCTCAGAAGCTCTGGTGGCCATTTTCTTTCCCCTTTTCTTCCTTTGAGTAAAAGGAAAATTAAAACGGAAAAGCGAAATCTCCCAGCACCAACAACTCGGCTCCTCCCCCAAAAGAAAAAAAAAATTTAAAGCGCAGGTACTAAACCCAATCCACATGCATCCTGCGAAGCTCCCGCAGTCAACTCGATTCCCTTTGGCGAGCCCTGCCGAAGGAGACGCGATCTGGAAAAAATCAATCAGAGCTCACGCCCCGCGCCGCCGCCGCCTCCGCCGCCGCCGCCGCCGCAGTGGCCGGGAGTCAGGGCTGCAGGACGCTCTGCCGCAGTGCACGCTCGTCGCTGCAACCGTCCAGCTCGGGTGAATAATGGAAGTACCGCGTAGAGACAATCAAGCTGATTTATCGCGCAAAATACCTCACTGCTTCAGTCCAGCTCTTCGATGTGTCACTTTAAATCACAAACGCGCGCACACAGATCCATAGGCGCTCACACATGCACAGTGCACGTGTGTGTGTGTGTGTGTGTGTGTGTGTGTGTGTGTGTGTGTGTGTGTGTGTGCGCTCGCGCGTGCGCGCCAGGACCGAGTGGAAGGATTCTGCTTAGCGTATATGAAGGGGAAAACCAAAAGAGCCCGTCACTCCAGCCCAGTACCCCCATCTTTTGCA